AAGGAGGAAGAGGAGGAGGAGGAGGAGGAGTAAGAGGGAGAGGATTTTTAGGGGGTTCAGACCCACTCGCTACCGCTGCCAAGGCACACACACGCACACACACACACACACACACACACACTGGGCGGCCGGCGACCACCCAGCGGGCCAACGAGGAGCAGCGCGCCGAGCCAGCACCGACAGAGAGAAAGAGAGAGAGAGAGAGTGGCGGCAACAGGAAAGAGAGGCGGTAGGGCACTCTGCAGTCGGCGCCCATCTCACCCTGGCGGCCGCCAGGGGCCCCGCACGCTGCAACGGAATCACGACAGACAAGCGAAGGACCCAGCCCAACAACACAACACAACAGAGCAAGCCGCAACACAACACAACACAAGAACAGGACAAGGGAAAAAAAGGGAGCCCCAGGGCCACACCGAGAACGAGGAGCCCACAGGAGGAACGGGCGACACGAGCAGCAGAACACAAGGCTGCCGCGGCAGGAGCCTGGCACTTGAAGAGGAACCTGCGGCGCGGGACAGGATAAAACAGTGGCCAGGCGGGGGGGGGGGGGGCCGCGCATGACGGGAGCGCGCCACTGAGGAGCTCCGCGCCTCGAGGCCCCCGCCGGTTTTAAAGACCGAACAGGGAGGAGGCAGCTTCGGGGAACCAGGTCCACCAGGCGCGCGCGCGTGGCCTGCGCAGAGGGCGGCGAAGAGAGCCGCGGGCCGCGGGGCGGCGGAACGACACGACAGAGAGCAGAGAGGGCAGGGCGGCAGAGGAGCGGACACTCCTCCGCGGGCGGGCTCCCCACGGGTGCAAATGCAGGGGGGTGACGAGACGAGTCCCGGGGAGTCAAGCGGCAGGGCAGCAGGCCCAGCAGCAGGCGTCGGAGCATGGTCCCTCGGGCCTCACGGGTGCCACGGGCGCTCTCCTCCTCCTCCTCCTCCTCCTCCTCCTCCTCCTCCTCCTCCTCCTCCTCCTCCTCCTCCTCCTCCTCGTCCTCCTCCTCCTCCTCCTCCTCCTCTTCCTCCTCCTCCTCCTCCTCCTTCTCGTCCTCCTCTGATGGACTCGGGCGCTCCGCTATCAGCAGAGCCAGAGCTACAGCCTCCATGCGGTCACGAATCTCCACCGTCTGGTGATGGAGCCACATCTGGCGGCCGTTCCAGATCGCCCTATGCATCGGTGCAAGCGGCCTGAAGAAGTGCCCAAACACACAAAGGATCCTGGGAAGCCAACGATCGCCCGGCTCAACACCAAGGAACGGACTGATGGTCATCCTCAGCCCCGCGGAGCGCACAAGAACATCGAACAGGGACGGCATCCTCACAAGGAAATGGGTCCTGAATCGCAAGTCCCTCCGCGCGCCAAAGGACTGCTGCACGCAGGTGCGCCACAACAAAGGAGAAGGGAAAGAGGCAAGCAAGAAGGCACAAGGGGGAGAGACGGAAGAGGACAACAAGAGGCAGGAGCAGGGGAAAGGCAGCAGCAGGACCAAGGGAACCGAGGGCAGGCAGGAGGAAGCAGGGAGGGAGCAAAAAGGGCACGACGGACCAGACAGGGAGGAGCGACGACCAAGGGAGAAGCGCAGCACGCACGGGGAGGAGCACAGCAGGGAAGGCAGGCAAGGCACATCACGCCCGAGGTAGGAAGGCACCAACTATACACCAACACCGATCCTGGCCAGGATCGCCCTGGGCCCAGGATCGGTGTATACGCCCTCCTGCCTTGCGCAAGAAGGCATATACACCGATCCTGGGCCCAGGGTGATCCTGGGCCAGGATCGGTGTTGGTGTATAGTTGGTGCCCTCCGACGACGGGACCAGCATGTGTCCAACAAGCCTGCCAACAATCATCGAAACACACTGTCGGAAAAAAAAAACTCCCCAGCCAACTCAACTGGGGAGGGGGGGGCAAGGCCAACACTGACAGCAGGAACCATGGATGCGAATGGAAATACAGGGCAGTTCTGAATACATAGGAGTTTGAAAAGATCGGATCTTTAATACATGATTAATTCATGAATACATTTAGGCATGAACTCATCGTTGTGTTTAACACTAAGTCCCTGCATTGTTAATACATGATCCGCACGCGCAGCATGTATCAAAAACGGCACTGTAGGGGCCACAAAGAAAAGAAAAAAAAGGAGGGGCCCGGGAGCACACGGCCATGGAGGCGGGGCAGGAGGGGCGGCGGGGTGGGCCCGTGGGGCCCCCCAAGGCAAGCCAACGCCTCCTGACGCCGAACTCGGCGGCGCCGAACTCGGCGGCGAACCTATCCTCCCCCCCCTCCTCCTCCTCCTCCTCCTCCTCCTCCTCCTCCGCCTCCTCCTCCTCCTCCTCCTCCTCCTCCTCCTCCTCCTCCTGAAGCCTCCAACGAACCTACTGTCTCAAGCGAGCGACGATGAGATCCTTCCCCGGGCAGGTGAACCCAGCGCGCCTCACGGCATGAGCAGACAAACATCAGGCCGATCAGCGCACGCCCCAAGAGGACCCTGGAGCGGCCCCGCTGTGGCTCCAAACAGCAGAGACTCGGGAGCCAACCGTCACCTTGGAGTTTCTCAGCCCAGGACGGTAGTAACCCCGATCGAGGGGACAAGCTCAGAAGCATCTCCTTCAGCCTAGGGTATTCGCGATAGTGAAGTAAGCCATCGTCCGCGCCAGGCCCAGAGCATCCAAACGCACATCCCAGTACTGCGGTGCGCAGCCGACTAGATGTACACGCCCCACGGCAAAGTAACCCAGCACATCAGTGGCGAAGTTGGGGGTCGCCTCACGGCCACCGCTTTCATCCCCAGGGCATGCGCCTGAGAGACAGAGATACTGAGCCCCCCCACCCCCGCCCACTTGCCAACCCTCACCACCGGGTGCGGGGGGGAGCAGGAGGGCCACGAAGTTGACAGAGCTGAGCCAAAGCCTTCTTCTGGAGCTTCTTCTTAGGGGCGGGACGAGGCGGCGGGGGCCGAGAATGCCCCTACTCCGTTGACCACAGTCCTGAGCCACGACCGCTCTACCCAGGGATGCCCAAGTCTCGATGGGGCAAACTCATCCCCAGCCAGGTTCACACTCAGATCATCACACCCGTACTGAATGGCGCCCAGCGCCGCGCAGGACATCACAACCCGAAACTTGTTAGCCTTCGAGAACATATCAAAGTCGAGGCGTTGCCACCAAGGCCCTATGCCAAGCTAACCCTCCCTCCCTCTATATATAAAGGAAAAACAAAAACAACAACAAACAAAACAAAAAAAAACGACATGGACCCGCAGCGATGACCTGGAGAACTTCATTGCAAGCCGTGCGCAATGCTGCCGTGACCGTGACTGGACACAGCTGCAACTGGTAAGCCAGGGTAGACATACAGCGCGCGTGGAAAAGCTGAACGGTCATCGGCAAACCCAGCCCCAATCTGGCCATCGCTCGGACGTCCATTCCCTGTGTTTCTTCCGGTTTCGTGCGTGGCTTTTCCGCCGAATGATCCAGGATGCTCCTCGATGGTCCTCGCCGAAGGAAAAATGCACACGTCCGAGCGATGCCAGGCGAACCGTCTGCCGGAACCGAGGAATCAGATTCGACCACCACTTCTCCATCGCTCCAGTGGGACGCACAGAGACATACTAATACTATATGTCCGCCTTGGAGGCGCGCGTCCGACCCGAACATATAGTATACCCATCTTGTAGTATATCGTTTCTCGAGCGGTGTGGCCAGAAAGCGCCCGCCACGACGCATATACTACAAGATTTCTCGGTGCGCGCGTCGCCCCTGGGGGGGCGACGAACACATAGTATAAGTATGTTGGGGGGATGCCGATCCAGGACCCATCCAGAATCCACGATGGGGCACCACCCCCAAAGAGTCCCAAGACCTTGAAAGGCAGTCCCCCGACGACGCAGGCGAGCTGAGAGCTGGCCAGGGCCGAGGGAGCCAATCACTAAGATATTTTGCACCTGCCAATGTTCAGAGAGAGAGAGAGAGAGACCAATCGCGCGCTCGAGCACGGAAAGATGATGAAGAGAAGGAAATGAGCCCAGAAAGAAAATTGACAATACTGAAGCACTGGTCATCAGCGCATGCCCTCATCCCTGGAACCTGCCCCGTCAATTTCACGCGCATCCATCCAAGAACAGGGCCCAGCGCGCACGAGAAGAAGATCATCGACGCAGAGTCGCCACGTCCAACGCCAGGGCAGACCGGGAAAGAACAGCACGATGAGCCCAGGAGATAACCAGAGACAGGAGCGCGGCCGAGAAATCCGCGCACCAAATCCCAGCCCCACCTCCCCCCCCCGCCCGCGGGCAACTGGCGAAGCCCCCACCACTCGACGTTCACAACATTGTCCAAGATGCCTCGACCAGGGCAGCCGCCTTTCTGCGTAGGATCTGCAATAGACCTCGGGGCTCTCCGGAGGCCCACACAGAAAGCGTCACTGAGGATCTTGGCAACTGCGTCCGCCAAAATCAAGAGGCGATTTTTCCTGGGAGCCCTCGCTAACTCTGCGGAGCTCTCGTCAGACTTGATATCTTCAAGCGGGGAGGTCATTCTTCCACTGCGCATCTCAGCAGCCAGTGCCACCTAATCATTCGCGCATCTTCCCGTGGACCAAACATAACATGTCAGCCCCACCGCCCGCTTTCCAGCACCCACGCGGCACCCCGTCTTCCCCAGGCGCCGAACGACGTCTGAAACGGATCCGACCCGCGAAGTCATAGATATCCAGACGCCAGCCCCGAACACCATTTTCGGCGGGCTGCACGCGTCCCAGGATTTCGGGCCAGAGGGTGCGGTCAGGGATCCGCTCAGCAAAAGCACGCGACCACTGGTCAGCCAAAGCTTCGCTGGACTCATCAGGGGAGACACAAACCGCACCGCCCTTCGGAAGAATTCCAGACAAACCAAAAACCTTCTGCGCATATTGGCCCAGGCTCTGCGCATGCGCGCTACACGTTGCACTCTCTTTGACTTCTCCAGATCGTCAAACTCCAACAGCTCCAGTCCCCTAGCTTCCTGATCACACCACGTATTCTCCAACGATTCAAGAAAGAGTCCCCAGCCCATCAGGGTCCGCGCACAATTCTCTCTCAGGATCAAAGAAGGCAAGAAGAGCTGGACGAGCGCGAGGAGCAGAATAACAGAAAGCAAACTTCCCGCGTCGCCATGCACGAAAGGCCATCAGCGCAAGGTGCAGTTTCTTACTCATCGAACGGGAAGGTTCCACGTGGAGCCGCCTCTGAAAGCGAGGAACCACCTTCGACGAGATATCTTTCACGCGACTCAGCTTCTCTCTGGGCAGCAGCTCAGGGGGGGGGCGGTTTCGAGAAGCCCCGAGCAGCAAAGGCCGTAGTCGAGCTCGCGCTGGAAAATCCATTTCAGAATGTTGAAGGGGCCCCAGGACACACAAATAAACACACACAAGTACAAGGATCCCCCATATGTTCCCATATTTGTTGGGCTTTTGTCTTCCCCATACTTCCCATATTTTCCCCTGTTTTCTAGGGAATCGACGATTCATTGTGTCTGTGTGTTTTTTCCCCTCCTGAAATGTGACGGGGTGCGAGAGCAGGAGATCCCGCAGCAGTCGCGGCCACTGCGGGGATGTGGTCCGAGGGGGGCGCCGGCCTCCACGGCGAGACCAGCTGCGCTGTCCTCGACGGAGAAATCTTGGGGGATCGAAGCAGGGAGGCCGGTGTCGACCCTGTCCAGACGAGCGACCCCACGGACCGCGCTCCCATGGAGATCGCGCCGCGTTGGCCCTTGCCGGTAAAGCTCGGGCCAGGACCCGCGCCGAGAGGCAGAAGCGTCTGACTGGAGCCTGTCGCTCGCCAACCACGCCCCGCCTGTGCGAAATCTACCCTCTTCCACCCCCCTGGAACTCCCATCCCCAGCAACAAAGAAGAGGGCGCGAGCAGGACGTGGGAGAAAAGCCTGGACACGATCGAGGCACCTGCGAAAAATCTCAATATGATCATAGGTGTTCGGCGTATGCATGTTGACGATACACAAGTCACCACGAGGACCCGTCAGAAGGGAAGCCAGGATCCTACCTGGGACAATGACCCTCGAATCACACTCGCTGAACTGGGCGACCAGACGGCTGGACAAGACAGTGACAAGACCCCCACCAAGCCCAGGGTCCAAGAGGGACGAGTGCAACACCGAGTCCTGACAGCGATCATCCCAAGCAATAGCCTCGACATCAGCAATAGTCCCGCGTCTCTTTTGATGGCATGCCGCATCGAACTTACCACAGAGATTGAAGAGCTGCTGATGGCGACGACGAGCACGGATAGAGGCAGTGGAATAAGAGTGGTGGAAATTGAAAAAAAACGGGTGATTCAAGTACAGATGGACATGTGAGCACAGGGAGCGAATACCCCATTCGCTCCAGAAGGTGGGTCAGGAGGTGAGAACGACCCGAAAAAAGAGTGACTCAAACTAGGAGCTGACTGGGCCACATCACGCGGCAGCGAAGACTTGCCGCCCCGAGGCTCCGCCCCAAGGGCGGCTTCCCAATCCGAAGCACAAGGGGCCCCAGACGACAACGACGCAACAGCCAAAAGATTCATGCAAAGGTGCCTCGGGCAAATAAGAACCTCATCTGTGTACCAAAGAAGCGAATTTGAGAGAACAGCGTGCGAACGCAGCCCTCATGCTCACTCTTCCGTCCAAATGAGCATCCTTATCCTGAGCATCCCCATCATCATCCCCATGATCATCACCATGATCGTGGTCATCACTATTACCGTCCTCATGAGTATCCCCATCATAACGATAATGAAATTCCAGCATCACTGCCATTATCATCAGCAGCAGCCCTCCCCCTCCTCATCGCACAAGAAATCAACGACGTAACTAATGAACCCGGCGCGACCCCAAGTAGGGGAAAGCTTCCTACTGCATGGGCGCAGTGCCTGGCATTGCTTGGCATTGCTTGGCATTGCTTGGCATGAGGCACCCGGGGACCCCGGGGAACCCGGGGAACCTCCGAGAAACGGGCAACTTAACATAGTAGGCACCAACCTTTAACCAAATGAAAGCCCCGCAGGCAAGCTTAATTGGGAAAAAGCTACGTAATCCTGGGTACCGGTGCCAATAAGCCGCCCCCAAACCAGTGCGTCGCACTTGCAGCAGTGGTGCTCCCCGGAACGCACCCGCGCTAGGCGGCCCACAGGCCAGCTGGGTGACGCCGTTCGGGGCGCCAGAGACGATGGTCCAATCCGCCCCGTGCTGGACGGAGAACACGCACATGAGGGGCCCGCTTGCGCCCATCTGCGCGGACTCGATCTCGCCGTTCAGCACCATCCGGAAGCAGGTGACCGTGTCCCCCAGCGGGTTAATCGCCTAGGCGAGAAGGCCCTGGCTTCCGCGAGCATCGCCGGAGTAATTACGGACTCTGTCAAATGTGCCAACTCGTCCACCCAATTCTTCTGCTGGCATTGCTCCTGCAACTGCTCTTGCCCCTCCACGTCCTCTCGGTCCTCCTCCACAGTCTCGACTGCGTGCTTCGCTACATGTGCGCATG